CCATTTTGTAATACAAAAATGATTACAATTTGATTATTCAAGTTAAATAATTAACACCAATATTTTAATTTTACAACCAAAGTATTATTAATTTAAAATGCAATAATTATATAAAATGTAAAGGATATTTTAAAAAAAATTTTTTTATTTTTTGACGACCTTGCGCGGCCCACTTACTCAGACTGTAGAATGAGGAATGAGGCTGTAGACCCAGGACTCAGACTGTGGATCCAGGACTCAGACTGTAGAACGAGGACTCAGACTGTAGAACGAGGACTGAGGCTGTGGATCCAGGACTCAGACTGTGGATCCAGGACTCAGACTGTAGAACGAGGACTCAGACTGTAGAACGAGGACTGAGGCTGTGGATCCAGGACTCAGACTGTGGATCCAGGACTCAGACTGTAGAACGAGGACTCAGACTGTAGAACGAGGACTCAGACTGTAGAACGAGGACTGAGGCTGTGGATCCAGGACGAGGACTGAGTAGTTTTATCTTAGCTCAGAAGTTTAGTATCGTGTTTGTTGTGGCCTGGGAACATGTGGTTCAGAGAGAGTGTTTTTACGACATCTGGTCTACATTGGACAGTTTTCAGATCTGAGTGAGAAGCATGAGCTCGTTTTCAGATGAACGGCTGAAGTGGACTCTGACTCGTGTGGTTAAACTGAGTCGTGTTTATGTAAAGCAGAGGACGGCCCGATGTTCTCCTCCAAACTCCCACCACCAGGGGGCGCTGTGTCCAAGGAACGCATCTGTCATCAGCCGCTCGGCCTGTTCAGGCTTTTTCAGAACCTGGCTACAAAATATTAGAGAAACTACTAAATAGAATAATTATTTTTATTGCCAAAAAACATATATAAATAGTTTTTTGTTTTAGGCCTTTATCTTTAAATGGTTGAGATGCAGTTGAATGTAAAAGAGCCTGAAACCAAGCGATAGAAAAGCAACAAAGAAGAAGATTTCAGTTCCAAGTAAATACAGTGTCTCAAAAAGTGTTCCACCAAATGGTTCAGGAAACCATTAATGTGTTGTTTACACGTTTACACCATATTTACCGGACCATCAGCGGCTACATAGTATTTGAACTTTGTGGCCTATGAAGGGAATTTAGTTAGATTGTCACCAGGAAGGAATTTAGACATCTATCGGCTGTTGTGCTCCGAAGCTGTTGACGAAGCCCACATTCCTGCTTCTGGGCGTGTTTATGTGAACAGTGCAGAGATAATACTGCACAGGACGTGTTTGCATGAGATACGTTTCTCAGGTTTCAGTTCTATCTGCTTTGTTTTGCTCCATCAGCTGTTTGTAAAGTTTTACATCACATAAAAACCTGTATGAAGGTTAGCTTAAACGTCCTAAAGTACTGCGTGTAAATATCAACGCTGGGAAAGTAAACATTTCTACACAGTAAGGTTTGCTCAGTTTTATGTCTGTTTGTCCATAACACTGAGATGATAGAGAATCCTAGAGTCCTGCTGCTTTAACTTTTACATTCACACACAGTTCAAACAGTGACTTTCTAATTGGGGTTTGGACCCAGTTGCGTCAGAGCATGGAAGAAACACAAATGAGGTTAGAGGAGATTAAGACTTAAAACAGGATAATTGTTTAAATTGAAGGTCACAGACGTAATATCAGGAGAAGATCCCAGACTGAAGCCACAACATTCTAATTACATCTGTTTAGATCTGGCCCAAGCTTTAACCCTTCAGTTAAAAACATAAACTTATTCTGCAGGACTTAATGAGTTTAAACATTCGACCATTATGTTTTCCAGTCATTTACCATCTGGGCAAAGAACACGGTACCACCAGGGGGCGCCGTGAGCGGAGCTTGGAGGAAAACATGAGTCAGATTCTCCTGGAGCAGGTCCAAGACACAGGTCCAGGACAGAGACCAACAACAAGCAGCTGCTTTAGTGACCATAAGTGACCATAAGTGACCATAAGTGACAAGTGACCATAAGTGACCATAAGTGACCATAAATGACTATAAATGACCATAAATGACACAGTGAATCACAGATACGTGGAGACGTTTGAGGCATGAAGTCACGTTAATAAACAAATCTATTCAGTGGAAGAATTAGATAAAGTGTTTTTACATTGTGCTCACATCTGTCTATGGCGCCACCTGCAGGTGAAAGCCAGATCCCTTAGACCTCTGAAGCTAAGCAAGAAGTGCCTGGTTAGTCTGTGATGGGAGACCTCTGGGAACAGCAGGTGCCACAGTGGGGCGGCTGCGGCTGTAAAGTGCCAAACTGTGGTTGTGTCCTTAGGCAAGACACTTCCCCCACATTAGAATGAGTCTGGTGTGAGTGTGAATGGTTGGTGGTGGGAGGGGCCGATGGTATGTACTAGTTGCTTCGCTTCTATCAGTATGCCCCAGGGCAGCTGTGGCTACTGTAGTAGCTAATACTGCCAAAAATAATATAATTTATTAAACAAGAATTCAATGTGAGATACAGGAACTGGGATGTTCTGGGACCGGTCTTAACAAACCAATAAATAACTAATAAACAAAAATAAGCTGTATGTTTTATCAGTGTATATACATATACATTATACATACATGTATATATTATATGTATATACACTGATAAAACATATATATATATATATATATATATATATATATATATATATATATATACAGTTTTTTTCCTGTTGGTTTAACCCGGGAGGAAAAGTCTTGAGAGTTCCATCAGATACAAGTGAGTTTTTCCAGGACAAGTTTCTTCCCAGCAGCGAAGGCTTAAAAGAATTCCTATAAATGTCACGATAAACGTCGCTATCTCCAGATTTAGGGCCTCGCTATCGGGCTTCCATAGTAGAAAAGTACTGCCAGAGGGTCCCGGAGTCTGGACCACAGAGCCAGAGCTTAACATCACTGGTTAATGGTTTAAATCTTATCTCCACACAAGAACTGATGCAGTTATCTTTCCCAGTCCCTCTACTGGTCCCACTCCCAGTCTCTCTCTGGTCTCTCTCTGGTCTCTCTCTGGTCTCTCTCTCTGGTCTCTCTCTCTGGTCTCTCTCTCTGGTCTCTCTCTCTGGTCTCTCTCTCTGGTCTCTCTGGTCTCTCTCTGGTCTCTCTCTCTGGTCTCTCTCTCTGGTCTCTCTCTCTGGTCTCTCTCTGGTCTCTCTCTGGTCTCTCTCTGGTCTCTCTCTGGTCTCTCTCTGGTCTCTCTCTCTGGTCTCTCTCTCTGGTCTCTCTCTGGTCTCTCTCTCTGGTCTCTCTCTGGTCTCTCTCTCTCTCTCTGGTCTCTCTCTCTGGTCTCTCTCTCTGGTCTCTCTCTGGTCTCTCTCTGGTCTCTCTCTGGTCTCTCTGGTCTCTCTCTGGTCTCTCTCTCTGGTCTCTCTCTCTGGTCTCTCTCTGGTCTCTCTCTCTGGTCTCTCTCTGGTCTCTCTCTGGTCTCTCTCTGGTCTCTCTCTGGTCTCTCTCTCTGGTCTCTCTCTCTGGTCTCTCTCTCTGGTCTCTCTCTGGTCTCTCTCTGGTCTCTCTCTGGTCTCTCTGGTCTCTCTCTGGTCTCTCTCTCTGGTCTCTCTCTCTGGTCTCTCTCTGGTCTCTCTCTCTGGTCTCTCTCTCTGGTCTCTCTCTGGTCTCTCTCTGGTCTCTCTCTCTGGTCTCTCTGGTCTCTCTCTGGTCTCTCTCTCTGGTCTCTCTCTCTGGTCTCTCTCTGGTCTCTCTCTCTGGTCTCTCTCTGGTCTCTCTCTCTGGTCTCTCTGGTCTCTCTCTGGTCTCTCTGGTCTCTCTCTCTGGTCTCTCTCTGGTCTCTCTCTGGTCTCTCTCTGGTCTCTCTGCTGGTCTCTCTGCTGGTCTCTCTGCTGGTCTCTCTGCTGGTCTCTCTCTGGTCTCTCTGCCGGTCTCTCGGCCGGTCTCTCTGCTGGTCTCTCTGCTGGTCTCTCTGCTGGTCTCTCTGCTGGTCTCTCTCTCTGCTGGTCTCTCTGCTGGTCTCTCTGCTGGTCTCTCTGCTGGTCCCTCTCCTTATGGTTTACAGTTAATTTTCATAATATTCTACATTTTCTGCGATGTTCTGAAAGCAGTGATATAGATATATTATGGATCTCTGAAGGAGAAACAGAAACACATCCAAACCAACAGTCATACATCAGCCCTAAATGACCAAAGTCTCTGAGGACTTTACAAAGTTGTTAATTTGCCAACAACAGATCAGAAAATCAAAAGAAAATGCAGTAATAACAAAGACACAGACATCGGTCCAAAAGGACGACCACTGTCTGTGTTCATCAAGGTGCACAACACTGGAAACAGAGTCATACGGATGAGGAACTTTGGGGAGGCCCGTAACGAGGCCCGTAACGAGGCCCGTAACAAGTCCTGTAACGAGGCCCGTAACAGTAGCTCTCTCCTGTTGTGTGTGTCTTTGTGTGTCTGTGTGTGTGTCTGTGTGTGTGTGTGTGTCTTTGTGTGTCTGTGTGTGTGTCTTTGTGAGTCTGTGTGTGTGTCTTTGTGTGTCTGTGTGTGTGTCTTTGTGTGTGTCTTTGTGTGTCTGTGTGTGTGTCTTTGTGTGTCTGTGTGTGTGTCTTTGTGAGTCTGTGTGTGTGTCTTTGTGTGTGTCTTTGTGTGTCTGTGTCTTTGTGTGACTGAAGTGGTTCAATAAGTCATGTTTATTTATATAGAACATGTTTACAGACTAAGGTCTAACCCAAAGCACTTTACTATGTTCAGAATCAGATATTGTTCCATTCCCTCCACGCGGTGAGGACAGAAGAGAGACCTGAACACACTGGTCCATCAAAGCCTCCGACCAAACACCCTCCATTCACTCACTTGTTACCAAGTGTGCATGCAAAAACCGGAGCACCCGGTTTAAAATCTAAAGTAAATCATCAATGACAGACCAAAGGGTCGTGAACCACAGATGCTGAAGTGAGCTGTAGGGAAGCTGTATTTCTGTCTCTGTTGTGTTGTTAAGAGATGGTTGTGTGTGTTGTTAAGAGATGGTTGTGTGTGTTGTTAAGAGATGGTTGTGTACCTGCCAGACACAGGCCCAGGATGGTGAGAAGGACCAGGACGTACAGAGAGACGATGGCGTATTTAATGGCTGCCAGAGAGTTGGGGTGACCACAGCACGGATCCTGCTTCCTGCGGCGTGGACCGGCCCCTGCAGGACACAACCACATATGAACAAATACTAAAACTCTTAAAATGTATCCTGTTCTTTATCGTCTGCCAGGTTAGATTCTGACTCTAGTGGTTATTTTATTGTAATGTTTTTATTTGCCCTAATTCACCGTCTTTCAGATTCAGATTCAGTTTCTTTGTCATTTGCTCCACTGTGGGACTCACTCTCTGAGTTCACCTGAGGCTTTAGTTCCACTCCACACTTTCACTCAGCGCTTGACCATCAGATACATGTACTGTACCATAGATACCAGATGTACCATGGATACCAGATGTACCATAAATACCACATATACCAGAAGAACACACACTTATTTTATTACTATTTCAGGCTCAACTTCGCCTCCTGAAACCAGGACTGGAGCCTGACACATGGCACAGCTTCACCTCATTGTCCTGGATCAAAATAAATGCATTAAATTAAAGAAACACACTGTACAGGGATGTGATGAAGAAGTAGCTCTCCTGAGTCTGCTGTGTCTCAGCTACACCATACTTTAATATACATTATTATTATATGTAGGAGCCATTTAGGGTTTTTGTTTTTCTGTGTGAATGTGACTAGTACATGCACGCGCATATATTATCATGCACGGGTCCAGTGGGTGTGGTTGTCTATTCAGTGCACGCGCTCACTTCAGCTGTGTGTGTGTGTGCCTGTGTCATGGCGGTGGGGTGAGCTGGGGAAGGAACTTTCTGTTGACCGCATGTTTCCATCAATTAAAATATCTGCACTGTCTTAATGAGGTATCTTCATCATCATACATAGCAACATTCCAAGTAAGTGCCTGATTCATTTCTACTCTCTGCAATAAACTTCATTATACTGTGCAATATCTCCGACTGCGCGTCATCAGTGTCTGCTCCCTTGCTTAGCCCGCCGTGGCGTCATGGATTAAGTTTGCCCTCCCATACGCCACTATATTTGTCAACAGAAAACCCTGTCGTTTGTTGAAGCGCAGTTTCATTGTAATGTCGGACAACTGTGGATGTTTACAATCTCTATCAAAGTTGTGAAGATAGACGTGAACGCGCATGGATAATACGCAGTGCCCATTCATTCACAAATCCGCTGCACACGTCAATCAAGGGCTTGAGCTAAAAAGGCATTGCTTTAGCGAATAACATGGATTATTGATCCCCTCACTCTGTAGTGCTTGTTACAAAAGGTGAAGTGCTATTTGGTTTGGTTTTTACGGATTTTTTGAGCTTCCACTTAAATGAAGATTGGTGGAGCTGGGTCCGCGTGAGTGTTGGGGAGAAGAACGCTGTGTCTTAGAGCAAAAGCCATAAAAAGTAAAGTAAAAAAAAAGAGAGAAATAATAAAGGAATCAAGAAGTGTGCACAGCAGAATTGAGATTTGTGGATATTTAAGAAGGAAATATGTCAACTCAAGAAGGGTCAAAAGAAGAGACTCAAAAAAGACAATCAAAGCTCACATTTAAAGCCTTTGAACAGAAATTAGAAAGGCTTCAACATGATAGAAAATTTAAAGTAAAACAAATCAAAATGACAACGAGAGAAATGACAGAGCTTATGAAAAATGCTGTAAATACTGAAAAGGTCCGCTCATGCATTGAAAATGTATCAACTCTGTTTAATGAAGCAAGCAAGTTGCATGATGAAGTCATTTCTATGGTGCCCTCTGATGAGCAGGAACAGCAGAATGCATGGTTTGTCAATGTGGAGGAGCATAAAGCTACTTGTGTGGAGGAGGCAAATAAATGGCTCTTGGAACTGCCAATAGTGGATGATGCACAACAAATACCAGCAGAGTGCACTGTTGAGCAGGAATGTCTCCCAAGGAAAGGGCTTCTTTCAAACAAAAACACAGCGAACATTTTGAAAACTGTAATGCATCTGAAAAGTACTGCAGTGGAAATCGAACCGAATGACAGCGTTTCCAATGCATCATCTGGAAAATCAAAGAGACGCAGTACTGTTGTGAGCCACAAGTCTGCGGTGTCAAGCACTTCCTCAGCACGATTAAGAGCAGAAGCTGAGACCGCCGCTATTATGGCCCGTCAAAAACTATTGAAAGAAAAACATGCTATGCAGGAACAACAGGAACAATTAAGGAGACAAATGGAGAAACAACAAGAAGAGTTAAAGAGGAAAATGGAGTCAATGGATTTGGACATGGAACTGGCAGCTTCTGTGGCAAAAAATGAATGTGTTAAAAGCGTCTGAAGGTTCTCGTGTATCAGCCAAATCTGATGGAATGAACTCTTATTTACAAAGTAGAAATACACAGTTAAATGTAGACGCCTCCACGTTTGTGCCCACTTTCACCACACAGAAATCTCAAGCAGAAGACACAAGCATTCATAAAGTCAATGTGGCAGCAAAGCCCAAAGCAAGTTTCCAAACAGGGCTACAGTCTACCGCTACAGGGCCCAGCCATTTAGTATCAATACAGGCTCCATTATATCAATCTGTCCCTCTCATTCAACCTGACCACAACATGCATATAAGTCAGAGCATCCCCGACCACCGCTTGTTTACTGTCCTTGAAAAGCAGAATGAAATCACATCACTACTTGTTGAACAACAGTCCCTTTTCCTGTTACCCAAACGTGACCTGCAAGCTTTCGATGGAGATCCACTTCAATATCAAACTTTCATGAGAGGTTTTGAACACAATATTGAAGACCGGACTCCCAGCCACAAAGACTGTTTGTACTACCTTGAGCAGTATACAAGAGGCCAGCCCCGAGACATAGTCCGAAGCTGTCAACACCTGCCACCCGCTCATGGGTACATGAAAGCAAAGGCCTTGCTACAAGAACATTTTGGAGACCCATTTAAAGTAGCCTCAGCTTACATGGACAAAGTGCTCTCTTGGCCTTCGGTAAAAGGAGAAGACCTCAAGGCATTACAGGCCTACAGTTTACTGCTCCGTGAGTGTTGCAACTCCATGGGAGAATCTATGGGTGACCTGAATGTGCCCTCTAACATGCAAACAATTGTGAAAAAGCTGCCTTACAAGCTAAGAGATCGTTGGAGATGTGTTGCCTGTGATCTACAAGAAAAATTCAACCGTAGAGCAACATTCTATGACATTGTGGAGTTTGTGAGTAAACAAGTTAAGATCGCAAGTGATCCTCTTTTTGGAGATATTCAAGACGCACCTGGAACTGGAAGAAAAGAGTCTAAAGCTGGATCTTTCCGGACTGGAGTAAAGCCACGGGGCAGAAGTTTTGCCACCAATGTAGCACCTGCGAAGAAAGTGGAGCCTGTGAACACAAGAGATAGGAACTTGCCGTGCTTGTTATGTGGAGCTGGACACTCTTTGGATGTTTGCCTTCTTTTGGATAGAAAGACTCAAGATGAAAAGATGTCTTTTCTGAAGGAGAACAATATGTGCTTCGGTTGTTTGTGCATTGGGCACAGGAGTAGAGACTGCAAAAGGCGTCTCACATGCAGATTATGCAACCTGAAGCATCCTACGTTGTTACATGTCCACTCCAAAAACAGATCAAAAGGTTCTACACAGGCTAATGATGGCTCAGAAGGGGCCAGAGAAGGTGATTTGGTGTCAGTGCAGTCCAGTGGTTTAACTGGGGCCGGCAGGCAGGACTGTACTCTGTCTATATTGCCTGTTCAGGTGAAGTCAAAAAGAGGACAAGAGACTCTGATCACTTATGCGTTCTTGGATCCAGGGAGCACAGCTTCGTTTTGTACCGAGAGATTAATGAATCGTCTCAACCTCACAGGGAGGAAGCTGGGCATTCTCCTTCGGACAATGGGCCAGGAAAAGGTTGTGGATAGCTATATGCTGACAGATTTGGAGGTGTCTGGTCTAAAAACAAGTGAGTTTTGCAATTTACCGGAGATCTTCACTCAAAAAAGCATGCCTGTCCATCGAGGAAATATTCCACAAGCAAAGGACCTGCAGCGTTGGCCACACCTGAGGCATATTCAAATTCCAGAGATTGAAGCAGATGTGGATCTCCTTATTGGCACTAATGTACCTCAGGCGTTGGAGCCCTGGGAAGTTGTTCGCACAGTGAATGGGGGCCCTTATGCCGTTAAGACTATCCTGGGCTGGACAGTAAATGGCCCACTCAGAGGAGATTGCCAAATGGACAAACAAATACAGCCTCACGTCTCTGTAAATCGGATCTCAGTGGCAAGGCTGGATGAGCTGTGGGAGAAGCAGCTGAAAATTGATTTTCCAGAGGCCAAACAGGATGAACAACATGGATTGTCAAAGGAGGATGAGAGATTTGTGGAGTTTGTTTCACATTCAGTCAACCATATTGATGGGCACTATAGTATTGGATTACCTGTAAAACGAAGATACCTCAAAATGCCAAACAATAAGACAGTTGCAGAACAAAGAGCAATCGGCCTCAAAAAACGCTTATCTAAAGACTCGTCCTTTCGCTCAGACTATGTCAAATTCATGAACGAAATGCTAAAGAATGGGTACGCAGAGAAAGTTACAGCTGAGCAGTTGAGGCGAAGCGACGGAAGAGTATGGTATATACCCCATCACGGTGTGTACCACCCTAAAAAGAAAAAACTACGTGTGGTCTTTGATGGGGGAGCCACCTTTCAGGGGGTCTCCTTGAACTCTCACCTTCTCCAAGGACCTGATCTTACAAGCCAGCTTGTTGGTGTTCTGACCAGATTCCGAAAAGAACCAGTCGTGCTTATGGCAGACATCGAAGCTATGTTTCATCAGGTCAGAGTGCCGCCAGAAGATTGTGACCTGTTAAGATTCTTGTGGTGGCCCGACGGAAACTGTGAACAGGAACTGGTTGAGTACAGAATGGTGGTACATCTTTTCGGCGCCACCTCATCCCCGAGCTGTGCTTGTTTTGCCCTTCGAAAATGTGCTGAGGACAATCGGAAGCACTTCAGTCCTGTTGCAATCAATACTCTACTACACAATTTTTATGTAGATGATTGCTTGGTGTCCGTCGCCACTGAAGAAGCCGCTTTGTCTCTATGTAAAGAGCTTGTTGAGTTGTGCGCCAGAGGTGGATTTAAGCTCACAAAATGGATCAGCAACAGTCGCACAGTCCTCGCTGCTATACCTCCAGAAGAGCGAGCCAAGGAAGTTAAAGATCTGGACTTGGACAGTGATGCCTTACCAGTTGAGCGAGCCTTGGGTGTACAGTGGTGTGTACAGTCCGACGCATTTAAGTTTAAGATTACACTCAAGAACCGTCCGCTCACAAGAAGAGGGATTTTATCCATTGTCAGTTCAGTCTATGATCCTCTTGGCTTTCTGGCACCTGTTGATCTTACTGCTAAGAAAATCCTCCAAAATCTCTGTAGGAACCGTCTGGGCTGGGACGATTCGTTACCCCCATCTGTAGCCAGAGAATGGATGACTTGGCTGGAGGACCTCCACCATTTAGAGCATTGGGAGGTGAGAAGATGTCTAAAACCAGTGAACTTCAGTGACGTCACGTCTGCCCAGTTACATCACTTTGCAGATGCCAGTGAAGAAGGATTTGGCACTGTGACCTATCTCTTACTCCATGACAAGAACGGAAAGGCTCACTGTGCATTTGTGATGGGCAAGGCGCGTGTTGCTCCACTTAAACTGGTCACTATTCCTCGTATGGAGTTGACTGCTGCTGTGGTGGCTAGCAGAATGGATAAGCTTTGGAGAGCAGAGCTGCGATTGGAACTCAGAGAGTCAATCTTTTGGACCGATAGCACCTCTGTATTGAAATATGTAAAGAATGAGACGTCAAGATTCAAGATCTTTGTAGCAAACAGAGTGTCGGAAATACTCAAGTTGTCAAGTGTGTCGCAATGGAGATATGTACACACTTCAAGCAACCCTGCAGATTTGGCTTCAAGAGGAGCAAAGGTTGAGTCATTTCTAAAGGCAGATGCTTGGATTCATGGTCCTAGTTTTCTTCTGGAGTCTGAGAATAACTGGCCATTAAACCCAGACAGTGTTGCAGAGCCTTTAACTGAAGATCCCGAGCTTAAAAATGTTATCGTGAATACTTACTCTGTTTGCGCTGCAAGTTCAGTGGATACGTTTATCAGCTACTTTTCCTCCTGGCATGGATTGATAAAAGCTGTTGCTTGGCTTCTTAAGTTCAGGAACCTTTTGTTGTCTTTGGTGCGTCAAAGAAGGTTGTTAAGAGACACTACTACCAAGCCCGAGCTAAGTTCGAAACAGCTGGAGGAAGAAGTACAGGTCCGGATGGAACATTACAAAGCCCAATATTCAAAGGTACACCTCACAGTGGAAGATTTGATTGCTGCTGAGAAGGCTGTGATAATGTTTTGTCAAAGAACAAGATTTCCCGAAGAAATTGCAAACTTAGAGAAGGGAGAATGTGTAAAAAGAACAAGTCACATCTACAAGCTGAACCCAATCCTTGAAAACGACCTCATTAGAGTTGGGGGAAGGCTGAGTGAAGCAGCTATGCCAGTTGAAGCTAAACACCCAGTGATTCTGGCCAAAGACTTACACATTTCCAGTTTAATTCTCAGTCGCGTACATCAAGAAACGGGTCATGGAGGACGCAATCATATGCTTTCCCACCTGCGACAAAAATACTGGATTCCTGGTGCTTGTGCTGCCATCCGAAAGGTCTTGTTGAAGTGTGTTACCTGCCGAAGAATGTCTGCGTCACCTGGACATCAGAAAATGGCCGACTTGCCTTACAGCAGAATAACTCCAGACGAACCCCCCTTTAGTCGCGTTGGCTTAGATTGTTTTGGGCCGTTTGAAGTGAAGCGTGGACGTGCTGTAGTCAAGAGATATGGACTCATTTTTACCTGCATGGCAATTCGAGCTGTACATCTAGAAGTCCTGTCCTCGCTAGACACAGATTCCTTCATCAACGGACTCAGAAGATTCATCGCAAGACGTGGCCAAGTCCTGGAAATCCGTTCAGACAATGGAACAAATTTTGTTGGCGCTGAACGAGAACTAAGGGAAGCCATTGACAAGTGGAATCATCCATCCATCCATCCATCCATTTTCTTCCCTTTAATCCATTTCTGGGTCAGGGGGGTGGCAGTCAGAGATGCCACCCAAGTCTCATAGCACCGGCCCCTCACTGACCCTCTGCAGGTGGTGAGTCCACAGGAGGACGGCTGCTCTCTGACTGTGAGCATAGCCTTGATCTTTCAGTGGGGGCTTTGGGCAAAGTGGGGTTAAGTGTCTTGCCCAAGGACACAACGACAGCAGTCATCAGTGGGAGTCGGTGGAGAAGGTGCAGAGGTGGGAATTGAACCCACGACCTTCAGGCCTGAAGGCCAATGCTCTACCAACTGAGCTACTGTCGCCCCTGGACAGTGGAATCACAATCTCGTAAATGGCATGCTGATGCAGAAAGGAGTGAAATGGGTTTTCAATACCCCAGCTGCATCGCACCATGGAGGAGTTTGGGAGAGGCTAATTCGCTCAGTTCGTAAAGTCCTTAACTCAGTCCTGAAAACTCAGTCCTTGGACGAAGAAGGCCTGGTGACAGTTTTTTGTGAAGTTGAAGCAATCGTTAATAGCCGTCCGATAACAAAAGCATCGACAGATCCTAACGATTTAGAGACGTTAACACCGAACCATCTACTGTTACTCAAATCTCAACCGTCACTGCCACCTGGATTGTTTGAAAAGGCTGATTGTTACGCTCGTCGTCGCTGGAGACAAGTTCAGTATATGTCCAGTCTGTTCTGGAAGCGTTGGTTAAAGGAGTATCTTCCAGGATTGCAAGAGCGTCAAAAATGGAATCGTGCTCAAAGGAATTTCTTGCCTGGAGATGTTGTCTTGCTGGTGGATGACATGTCACCGCGTAATTCATGGATTACAGCTCGAGTCGTGGATACTGTGTCGGACAGGAATGGATTAGTACGCACAGTGAAGATTAAAACGAAATCAAGTACTTTGGACCGTCCGATTACCAAGTTGTGCCTTTTGCAGGAAGCAGATGAGCAGTGAAGATCGTGTGGATTATAACTTTGAACTTTCTTTCGTTGTGGATTACTTGAATGAACTGAGACATTACTAGATTGTGGACTACTCTATGATCGTACTAAAACTGGACTCTAGACCTTTACCTTTTTTGGTGTTTTTGGGTTATGGTTCTGTCTCCTACTTGTTTAATGGTGATGGGTAATTATTAGCACACAATAATTAGGGGCCGGAATGTAGGAGCCATTTAGGGTTTTTGTTTTTCTGTGTGAATGTGACTAGTACATGCACGCGCATATATTATCATGCACGGGTCCAGTGGGTGTGGTTGTCTATTCAGTGCACGCGCTCACTTCAGCTGTGTGTGTGTGTGCCTGTGTCATGGCGGTGGGGTGAGCTGGGGAAGGAACTTTCTGTTGACCGCATGTTTCCATCAATTAAAATATCTGCACTGTCTTAATGAGGTATCTTCATCATCATACATAGCAACATTCCAAGTAAGTGCCTGATTCATTTCTACTCTCCGCAATAAACTTCATTATACTGTGCAATATCTCCGACTGCGCGTCATCAGTGTCTGCTCCCTTGCTTAGCCCGCCGTGGCGTCATGGATTAAGTTTGCCCTCCCATACGCCACTATATTATACATTATTATCCATTATTACACATGCGGTAAAAGAGCTGTTTCATGGGTTTAGTAGCCCCAGTGTCTCTCAAACCGTGTTTAGTTAACGAACTAAAACAGCACTTTAAAACATTACCCTATGTCCCATTTTCAAATGAGCTTTTAACCATGTTCCTTCATCAACAACAGACCTGGACCCCTAACCCTAACCCCGCCCTTTCCCTGAAAAAACTCAGATCTCAGAAACTCACAAAGTCCAAACTTCACACTTGAATAAATGGGAATAAACGCAGCTCAAGTCGGAAATTCAACATGGCCTGAAACTCGCAGGACGTTTTATACCGTACTGAAGGTTTTATGAGGCAAAACTGGGGCGACAGTGGCTCAGTAAAGCACTGGCCTTTATGCCCGAAGGTCGTGGGTTCAATCCTGTCACTGATGTCTGCTGTCGTTGAGTCCTTGGGCAAGACCCCACTTTGACTATAAGGAGCGCGGAAGTGATGTTCGCTGCTTGCCTTGATGTGTGTGTGTGTAAATGTGTATGTGTATATCATGTATATGTATGCATTAAACTGAAATGTCCCCATTGTGGGACCTTCTCTCTTAAAATAAACATTTAACCCAACAGCAATTCAAAATTTGAGAACGTAAAAGCCAAAAAAGTTTTTCAGAAATATGTAAGATATGGATCTAATAGAAAACCAATGGATTTAAAAATAAGAAATAGTTCAGTGACAAGGGACATGAAAATCCTTCTAAACCTTTGAAGAATCTGTTTTAGTTTACGTTGAGTCTCCATCGTCCTGGAGACCGGCTTTTGTTAGTGATGCCTTTTCCACCAATGAGGAGCTCTCTCATTAACGCTCTGGTATCTTATCAAATTGGACAGAAAAATCTAATTGAACTCCTCCCTCTGGTGGTAGCAGAGGGAGTTACAAGCAGATGCCAGACATGTTCATCTCAGACATGTTCATCTCAGACATGTTCATCTCAGACATGTTCATCTCAGACATGTTCAACTCAGACATGTTCATCTCAGACATGTTCATCTCAGACATGTTCATCTCAGACATGTTCAACTCAGACATGTTCATCTCAGACATGTTCATCTCAGACATTTCATCTCAGACATGTTCATCTCAGACATGTTCACTCAGACATGTTCATCTCAGACATGTTCATCTCAGACATGTTCATCTCAGACATGTTCAACTCAGACATGTTCATCTCAGACATGGGCATCTCAGACATGTTCATCTCAGACATGGGCATCTCAGACATGTTCATCTCAGACATGGGCATCTCAGACATGTTCATCTCAGACATGGGCATCTCAGACATGTTCAGCTCAGACATGTTCAACTCAGACATGTTCATCTCAGACATGGGCATCTCAGACATGTTCATCTCAGACATGTTCATCTCAGACATGGGCATCTCAGACATGGGCATCTCAGACATGTTCATCTCAGACATGTTCATCTCAGACATGTTCATCTCAGACATGTTCATCTCAGACATGTTCATCTCAGACATGTTCATCTCAGACATGTTCATCTCAGACATGGGCATCTCAGACATGTTCATCTCAGACATGGGCATCTCAGACATGTTCATCTCAGACATGTTCAACTCAGACATGTTCATCTCAGACATGGGCATCTCAGACATGTTCATCTCAGACATGGGCATCTCAGACATGTTCATCTCAGACATGTTCAACTCAGACATGTTCATCTCAGACATGGGCATCTCAGACATGTTCATCTCAGACATGTTCATCTCAGACATGTTCATCTCAGACATGTTCATCTCAGACATGTTCATCTCAGACATGGGCATCTCAGACATGTTCATCTCAGACATGTTCAACTCAGACATGTTCATCTCAGACATGGGCATCTCAGACATGTTCATCTCAGACATGGGCATCTCAGACATGTTCATCTCAGACATGTTCATCTCAGACATGTTCATCTCAGACATGTTCATCTCAGACATGTTCATCTCAGACATGTTCATCTCAGACATGTTCATCTCAGACATGTTCATCTCAGACATGTTCATCTCAGACATGTTCATCTCAGACATGTTCATCTCAGACATGGGCATCTCAGACATGTTCATCTCAGACATGGGCATCTCAGACATGTTCATCTCAGACATGTTCAACTCAGACATGTTCATCTCAGACATGGGCATCTCAGACATGTTCATCTCAGACATGTTCATCTCAGACATGGGCATCTCAGACATGTTCATCTCAGACATGTTCAACTCAGACATGTTCATCTCAGACATGGGCATCTCAGACATGTTCATCTCAGACATGTTCATCTCAGACATGTTCATCTCAGACATGTTCATCTCAGACATGTTCATCTCAGACATGGGCATCTCAGACATGTTCATCTCAGACATGGGCATCTCAGACATGTTCATCTCAGACATGTTCAACTCAGACATGTTCATCTCAGACATGGGCATCTCAGACATGTTCATCTCAGACATGGGCATCTCAGACATGTTCATCTCAGACATGTTCAACTCAGACATGTTCATCTCAGACATGGGCATCTCAGACATGTTCATCTCAGACATGGGCATCTCAGACATGTTCATCTCAGACATGTTCAACTCAGACATGTTCATCTCAGACATGGGCATCTCAGACATGTTCATCTCCAGACATGGGCATCTCAGACATGTTCATCTCAGACATGTTCAACTCAGACATGTTCATCTCAGACATGTTCATCTCAGACATGTTCATCTCAGACATGTTCATCTCAGACATGTTCATCTCAGACATGTTCATCTCAGACATGTTCATCTCAGACATGTTCATCTCAGACATGTTCAACTCAGACATGTTCATCTCAGACATGTTCATCTCAGACATGTTCATCTCAGACATGTTCAACTCAGACATGTTCATCTCAGACATGGGCATCTCAGACATGTTCATCTCAGACATGGGCATCTCAGACATGTTCATCTCAGACATGGGCATCTCAGACATGGGCATCTCAGACATGTTCATCTCAGACATGGGCATCTCAGACATGTTCAACTCAGACATGTTCATCTCAGACATGTTCATCTCAGACATGGGCATCTCAGACATGTTCATCTCAGACATGGGCATCTCAGACATGGGCATCTCAGACATGTTCATCTCAGACATGGGCATCTCAGACATGTTCATCTCAGACATGGGCATCTCAGACATGTTCATCTCAGACATGGGCATCTCAGACATGTTCATCTCAGACATGGGCATCTCAGACATGTTCATCTCAGACATGTTCAACTCAGACATGTTCATCTCAGACATGGGCATCTCAGACATGTTCATCTCAGACATGTTCATCTCAGACATGGGCATCTCAGACATGGGCATCTCAGACATGTTCATCTCAGACATGTTCATCTCAGACATGTTCATCTCAGACATGTTCATCTCAGACATGTTCATCTCAGACATGTTCATCTCAGACATGTTCATCTCAGACATGGGCATCTCAGACATGTTCATCTCAGACATGGGCATCTCAGACATGTTCATCTCAGACATGTTCAACTCAGACATGTTCATCTCAGACATGGGCATCTCAGACATGTTCATCTCAGACATGGGCATCTCAGACATGTTCATCTCAGACATGTTCAACTCAGAGATGTTCATCTCAGACATGGGCATCTCAGACATGTTCATCTCAGACATGTTCATCTCAGACATGTTCATCTCAGACATGGGCATCTCAGACATGTTCATCTCAGACATGTTCAACTCAGACATGTTCATCTCAGACATGGGCATCTCAGACATGGGCATCTCAGACATGTTCATCTCAGACATGTTCATCTCAGACATGGGCATCTCAGACATGTTCATCTCAGACATGTTCAACTCAGACATGTTCATCTCAGACATGTTCAACTCAGACATGTTCATCTCAGACATGGGCATCTCAGACATGTTCATCTCAGACATGGGCATCTCAGACATGTTCATCTCAGACATGGGCATCTCAGACATGTTCATCTCAGACATGTTCAACTCAGACATGTTCATCTCAGACATGTTCAACTCAGACATGTTCATCTCAGACATGTTCATCTCAGACATGTTCATCTCAGACATTTTCATCTCAGACATGTTCATCTCAGACATGTTCATCTCAGACATGTTCATCTCAGACATGTTCATCTCAGACATGTTCAACTCAGACATGTTCATCTCAGACATGTTCATCTCAGACATGTTCATCTCAGACATGGGCATCTCAGACATGTTCATCTCAGACATGGGCATCTCAGACATGTTCATCTCAGACATGGGCATCTCAGACATGTTCATCTCAGACATGGGCATCTCAGACATGTTCATCTCAGACATGTTCATCTCAGACATGTTCATCTCAGACATGGGCATCTCAGACATGTTCATCTCAGACATGTTCATCTCAGACATGTTCATCTCAGACATGTTCATCTCAGACATGTTCATCTCAGACATGTTCATCTCAGACATGGGCATCTCAGACATGGGCATCTCAGACATGTTCATCTCAGACATGTTCATCTCAGACATGTTCATCTCAGACATGTTCATCTCAGACATGTTCATCTCAGACATGTTCATCTCAGACATGTTCATCTCAGACATGGGCATCTCAGACATGGGCATCTCAGACATGGGCATCTCAGACATGTTCATCTCAGACATGTTCATCTCAGACATGTTCATCTCAGACATGGGCATCTCAGACATGTTCATCTCAGACATGTTCATCTCAGACATGTTCATCTCAGACATGTTCATCTCAGACATGTTCATCTCAGACATGTTCATCTCAGACATGTTCATCTCAGACATGGGCATCTCAGACATGTTCATCTCAGACATGTTCATCTCAGACATGGGCATCTCAGACATGGGCATCTCAGACATGTTCATCTCAGACATGGGCATCTCAGACATGTTCATCTCAGACATGGGCATCTCAGACATGGGCATCTCAGACATGTTCATCTCAGACATGGGCATCTCAGACATGGGCATCTCAGACATGTTCATCTCAGACATGGGCATCTCAGACATGTTCATCTCAGACATGTTCATCTCAGACATGGGCATCTCAGACATGTTCATCTCAGACATGGGCATCTCAGACATGTTCATCTCAGACATGTTCAACTCAGACATGTTCATCTCAGACATGGGCATCTCAGACATGTTCATCTCAGACATGGGCATCTCAGACATGTTCATCTCAGACATGTTCAACTCAGACATGTTCATCTCAGACATGTTCATCTCAGACATGTTCATCTCAGACATGTTCATCTCAGACATGTTCATCTCAGACATGTTCATCTCAGACATGTTCATCTCAGACATGGGCATCTCAGACATGTTCATCTCAGACATGTTCATCTCAGACATGTTCATCTCAGACATGGGCATCTCAGACATGTTCATCTCAGACATGTTCATCTCAGACATGTTCATCTCAGACATGTTCATCTCAGACATGTTCATCTCAGACATGTTCATCTCAGACATGGGCATCTCAGACATGTTCATCTCAGACATGTTCATCTCAGACATGTTCATCTCAGACATGGGCATCTCAGACATGTTCATCTCAGACATGTTCATCTCAGACATGTTCATCTCAGACATGGGCATCTCAGACATGTTCATCTCAGACATGTTCATCTCAGACATGTTCATCTCAGACATGTTCATCTCAGACATGGGCATCTCAGACATGTTCATCTCAGACATGTTCATCTCAGACATGTTCATCTCAGACATGTTCATCTCAGACATGTTCATCTCAGACATGTTCATCTCAGACATGTTCATCTCAGACATGTTCATCTCAGACATGTTCATCTCAGACATGGGCGTACCTGGGTCACACAGGTTGAGCTTGGACAGGTTGTGTTCCTCAAAGGGCTCCTCGCACATGGAGCCGCTCTCCCTCTCCTCGTACGTGCTCAGATACATGGCCTTGTTCTCCATCTCGTCCTGTTTGATCAGAAAACACTGCGTCAACACTGGACACACACACAATGGACACACACACTGGACACACACACACTGGACACACACACACTGGACACACACACACTGGACACACACACACTGGACACACACACACATACTGAACACACACACACACACTGGACACACACACACTGAACACACACACACTGGACACACACACACTGAACACACACACACACACACACACATACTGAACACACACACACACACACACTGGACACACACACACACACACACACAAACACACACTGGACACACACACACTGGACACACACACACTGGACACACATACACTGGACACACACACACTGGACACACACACACTGAGCACACATACACTGGACACACACACACTGGACACACACACACTGGACACACACACACTGGACACACACACACATACTGAACACACACACACACACTGGACACACACACACTGAACACACACACACTGGACACACACACACTGAAACATACACTGGACACACACACACTGGACACACACACACTGGACACACATACACTGGACACACACACACTGGACACACATACACTGGACACACACACACTGGACACACACACACTGAGCACACACACACTGGACACACACACACACACACACACACACTGTTATAACCCTCTGCTGATGAGGAGGAATCTAAACTGTAATCTTCAGATCTGTGGCGAGAGTTTAACCAACAACTCCTGTGTCCAGTCTGAGTCCCAGTCTGAGTCCCAGTCTGAGTCCCAGTCTGAGTCCCAGTCTGAGTCCCAGTCTGAGTCCCAGTCTGAGTCCCAGTCTGAGTCCCAGTCTGAGTCCCAGTCTGATAAGATAAGATGTGCTTTATTTATCTCACAGGAGAAATGTACATGTCACATTTGGCATGGATAGAACACTCAGACTGTGCAAAAGGAGGAAATGTGCAAACATGTTACATGCAGGATATATATGTACAATAAACATGTTACATGCAGGATATATGTACAATAAACATGTTACATGCAGGATATATAGTAAGTAGTAAGTAAGTATTTATTTATATACCGCCTTTTCACTGCAGATCTGAGTCTCAAAGCGGTTTACAATTGTTAATTTTGGGCATTTGTCTCTCACTCCACACAGAGATGGGAGCGGGGTCAGTACAGGAGGCGCATGCCAGAACTATTGGACATATTTTTAGTGGTAGGGGAAACCGGAGTACCCGGAGGAAACCTACGCAGACACGGGGAGAACATGCAAACTCCACTCAGAAAGGCCCTGGTCCGACCGGGATTCAAACCCAGGACCTTCTTGCTGAGAGGCGAGAGTGCTATCCACTCAGCCACCGTGCCGCCCATGTGCTGCCGTATATGTACAATAAACATGTTACATGCAGGATATATGTACAATAAACATGTTACATGCAGGATATATGTACAATAAACATGTTACATGCAGGATATATGTACAATAAACATGTTACATGCAGGATATATATGTACAATAAACATGTTACATGCAGGATATATGTACAATAAACATGTTACATGCAGGATATATGTACAATAAACATGTTACATGCAGGATATATGTACAATAAACATGTTACATGCAGGATATATGTACAATAAAGTGACAATAAAGTGACAAGTGTCAGTTGGAAACAGTGTCAATAGTTGTGCAGGTTTTCACACAGTGATCATTTAAAGTGACTTGTTGTACAGTCTGACAGCAGTGGGGATAAAGGCCCTGCGGTAGCGCTCCTTCCTACACTGATAAACAGAGTGCAGTGAAGTGGGTCTAAAGACAATAACAGCCTGAAGGCTTTAGGTTCGAGGCCCAGTAACA